CTCTATTCTATCTGCTTCTTTGCAATCATTGTAAGTACTTTGTTTTGAGGATATTTTTTCCACTGTGATTTACTGATTTTGGCTAAAATTACTGGCTTACCATATCTGCTATCAATTTGTGTTGACCGTTTCATTAATGGTATTTTCATAGGACATAATTAGGGGTTGTTCAAAATTTAACTGAATCAATGTAACCAAACCGACCAAAACTTGCAAAGAATTAAGTGTGATTGATTTCGAGCCTTTGGAAACTGATTCAATCAATGTGGTTATTGGTTTGGTACACCCTGGGGAATAATTTTTTTATAATTAATTTTTCTCTGGCCTAATCCATTGCCAAGCTTCGGTCCAATCTTGTTCAAAAACTTTTTTAATTTAGTTGTATGCTTTGGGAATAAGATTTAAAATTTTTTCTTCGGTAAAATTATATTTTGCAGAACACAATAATTCCATCAGTAACTATTTTTATTTTAAAAAGTGAATATACATTCAAATTTACTCTGCCTACAAATATTTTCACAAAAATTACATTGAGCATTTCTGAAAGCAATCCAAACTTAGCCAAACTCATCAAAAATCAAACCAATTTGATTTCTAGACTGTAGAATTAGGTCAGCTATGTCCTTAAACCAGTTGTTATGGTTTAGTTTTGTTTTAATCCAATCAAACCTAAACGAACCTATGAATACCCATTAGACGTACACACAGATGGACACAAGACTCCTGTTTAGTGTTGACAGAATTTTATTCAATGTACGTTTGTGAAAAGCGTTGAATATTGCATAGCAAAATTAGCGTTCTGAATTTTGAGCTCCCATGATTTATTCGATCTGATTTGAATATTTTACCAACGGAATTAATTTCTCTATTTTTTTTTTTTTTTTTTTTTTTTTTTTTTTTGCAAATTAATGAACAAAACTTAATCCATGTCAGGGCTAACTATTCTTATCTTTTTCCTGCAGCCAGACCTCTATACCTTATATTGATCCAAGGACCTTGAAGCTTTTGGTGTCAGTTACTCGTAATTTTAAAGGTTCTGAGGACAAAGTAATTAAGGACCATTGTCTTACCCTTTTGGGTGAACTCCTGCAGATGATCTCAAATTTGAGACATCTGTACTCATCAAATGGTATTGAAGAAGCCATCTTGGAGATTGAAAATACCTTTGTCTCAGGGCCAACAGCATCTGATGGCTGCTTGCACAAATGCAAACCACATTTGGCTCAATTCATGGCAGGACTAATACACACAGAATTGTCAGAGATTGATGATGATGATTCAAAGAACTGTGCTGTTCTGAACCTGTTTCACATGCTTTTGAAAGAGAAGCACTGGGCCTTCATTCATTTGGCATTAACAGCATTCGGATATTTCGCCATGCATACCAAGTACAACAAGCTATGGAGATTCGTTCCACCCGATGCAGCCCTTTCATATGATCTAGTTTCAGGAGCAGAATCAGACCAAGATAGATTTACCGAGGAGATCAAGGCATTTCTTAACAAGGAAATGGCTCTTCTCTCAACTGCACCAAACACTGAACAACTTGAGCTGCTTGCAAGAGATGGCCGGGTTCTGAAGCAAATGGTCCATAAAATACCCAACATAGCTGAAGCAGAAGTAAAATGTGTGAGCATGGAAGTTGATGATGATCATAATAACTGTTCCAATAAGAAAAGGAAACTTCGTGATGGGATTATCAAAGGTGTGGAATTGCTTAAGAGTGGTTTGAAGATTATTGGGGATGGTCTTTCCCAGTGGGATCAGAATCAGTTTGGGAACAATGAACTTCATGTCAAGTTCTTGACTCAGTTTGCTCAACTGGAGAATGTAGTTACTCACTTTGGGGAATTGGCTGGCAACAGAGAGTTATGTTCATCCCTTGGTTCAGAGCACTTCTCCTAAAGCTGATTAGCCAATGTTTCAGTTGTATAAAAATCTCAATAGGGATCCTTACCAGTAAAATTCCGTCTCCTTTTTACTTGTACCCTTGCATATTTTATCTTCATTTTTCAAAATCTTCTGTGTTTGTGTGTGTGTTTTCAAATGTGAACGTAAATACAAGATCTGGTCGTTGGCAATGTTTTTGGACAGTACTCCTGCTTAGTGTGAACTGTGAAGACCCCTGAGATCCGCGCACACATTTTTCAAAATCTCGCCTGTGTTTGACTGTGCTTTTCAAACGTAAGTGTACGTACAAGAACCGGTAATTAGCCTTTTTTTTTTTTTTTTATACTAACACCAGTTTTTAATATAAGAGCTTGATAATTAATTTTAAAAAAATTAAAAAAATTAGTTAAGTTGATTATTTGTAATAAATGCATGTTGATTTTTTTAGATTATTTTTTTTAATCATGTTTGTATTGAAAGTTGGAACCATATCTTGGTGAGAATTTCTCACAATGAGTAGGGGAGTAAATTTAATTCTCAATTAATCTTTACATTAAGTACCGAAAGTAGTACTAAATTAGCATGCTTTTAAAAATGAAATCCTTGAAAAAAAAAAGTGTGGGTCTCAATTCACTTTATTTATCATTTCCCTCAAAATTAGCCTACCCAACACAGTGCCTTAGTTATTAAAGTCCACTAATCAAAAGTTATATTAAAACAATCTAGATTTTAATCATTCTAATGTATTCCGTCACTTCAATTACCGAATTACTACGCTGGTCAAGGTCAAAGAAAAAGTACCAAATCATGGCAGAGGCAGATGCTTAGAAGGCTACTTGAGGTTATGAGAATTCGCTAGTACGAATTATGGGCCCAGGAAACAGAATGTACTAGTAAATTTATTTCATCTTGCTATTGTCTAAAATAATTATTTCAAGTTTCCATAATAGACATAATTCAACAATTGGTATTTGAAATGAAAATATTGCATGGCCAAAATATTGCTATTGTTCATTTTGATTATTTTATCTATTTCAGAAAAAATTAATTTGTTAGTCCATATAATTTTTCTTAGTTTTTTCTTTTCATTTGTTTATAGTTTTCTCAACAACGGACGTTCGTTATAATTCATGATAGGCTAATTATGCTTGATGGGGATTTTTTTTTTCGGCCAACGATGTAGATGCTACCAAGTGATGTGTAAATTGCCACAAAATATAAAATGAAAGGGAGGTTATTCTTGAAAAAAAAAAAAGTTCATTTATTTTCAACATAAAAAAAATATAATGCTCATAATCATCCCTTTTCATGTATATATAATCTTTAGTTTGATTGGTTTTGATTTGATTTTAACTTATGTGGCAAAATCAATAGAGGATGTATGCTAAGTGAGAGCCATATTAGTTTTTCTTACAAATTATAAGTGTAGAGATCAATACCTATAATTAAGAAAACTATTAAAACCCGATAAAAAAGAATACGAGAACTTAATTGAGAATGAGGTGAAATAATAAAAACTTGCATATTACTTTGCCAAAATCATAAACTAGTCGTATGTTGTTGAATAGAAATAACAAATGTCGATCTTTCATAATTTGTCATCGCTTCATTATTTTCAAATGGTCTCATTCAAGGACGTAAAAAATTATAATGTGATAAGAGAATCCATTAAAAGATATCTTCTAATCAAATTCCAATTAGGAATTTGTTAGAAAAATGAAAAATGGAAAATAATGCGGAAACTTTGTGGAGTCAGTGCTTCCTCTTTCCATTGATTTTGCCTAATATCAATTTTCCGCCATTTTCTTCTCCTTTTAAGATTCCAGCGATGTATAGGAAAACAATGAGAAACGTTACTTCAATTTCTCTTCGTCTTCCCAATCCACGTCTGGCAATTCATGAGCACAACAAGAATTTTGTTACAGGATTCACATTGGTAATTAATTTTGCTTCCCCCCTTTTTTAATCAATGAATCATTGCACATTCCCTTCTGAGTTCTTCTTTGTTTTTTCACATCAAAAATCAATTTTGAGATATTAAATTCTAGGTAAGGATTGAAAATATATTATGGTCTTCAATGTTTCATATTGATTATTCTACGTTTTTTTCTTCTGTAATTCAATAGGAATAATTTCTGATGCATTTAGGAATGGAGAAATATTTCAATCTGTACTGAGAATTGGAAAAAAAAAAAATCCTTGTATTATGAGATATGAACTTAGGATTTCAAGTTTTTTCTCAATATTTCTGCCTAGTACTACAGTTATGGGTGATCTTATTTGTTCTTACATTGAGGATGCAATAATTGTAAGAAAATGGAAAGAAATACTATCAAGATTAATTGAAGAACGGTGACAAGAAGAATTGACCATTTTGAGAAATTTAAATTGCCTTTTGAAATTCGTACAAAAAAAAATTCCTTTCATCAATAGTATTTTATGGGCGGTATTAATTATGTAGATTTTGGTGATATTAACAATTAAGAAAAGAGGTCTCCATAGGATTGAAGACTCATAAAATAAACGAGTTCACAACATAGTGTTCTCCAGGTATAAATGTGATGTTCAGCCATTGAAATTCGTGTCTCATCTTGTATTCGCATTTGTTTGAGTAAATTTACAAGTAATTTGGTCTTTAAATACTCTCTCAGGTCTTAAATGATTAAAAAAATTACTTAAATTAATTATTTGTAAGAAATGCGTGTTGATTTTCCTAAAGTATTCATTTTAATCATTTACATAAAAAACTCCTCCTTTGATGGAAGTCCCTCTTATTATGAGAGCAATTAATAGACAGAGTTTAGGGGAAGTAAATTACAAATTTGGGGGATAAAATGTTTAAGATTTTATATTTAGAACCAAAGTAAACCTCTCTAGTCTCTACTAGCTCTTATATTTATAACTATTATTAGGTCCATACTAGTTATTAGTTTTAATCTTGAGAATGAATGAATAAACATGTTAGTCCTCAAAAATAACAAATCTGTCACAAATTAAATCATTTGGGCAATCTCTAAACCACTTGAGAAGAGACTAATTTGCAACAATTCTGTCGTAACAATGACTAACTCTTGAACTGAACCAGTTTTTGTAGTTGAATCTGGGGAACCATGGGAAAAAGAGTCCGTGATAAGAGACCTGATGTGGCAGAGGAGAATAATAGTAGTGGTGCTAGCACCAGTGCCAGTGCCAGTACTAGTCATCATGGAAGAACTTGGAGCATTCTTAACATTATGAAGTATCATCATTGGCCTCATAACGTCAAGAAAAGGCTCACACACAAGAAGAATGCTGCTGGAAAAAATCCTGATGGTAATTGTACTCTGGACTCTTCAAATGACATGTTTCTAGCTGTTTCAGATTGTTTTTGTCATTTCGATATAGGCATCATAATATCCGGAGGGTGGATTATAGAGTTTTAAATTGTTGGTGTGGTCGTATTTGTGATTATTAAGGCTGTGTTATGAGTCCCACATTGAGGAGTCTTATAACTAAAGTGTCATTTTTTTTTTGGGTGAAAGAATTGGACTCTCCTTGTAGACTTGTACTTGTAACAGGCTGGGCGTGTTGTAAATGCAATGACATGAATTTTCATCATGGATGTGGTTTGCAATTCAGATTCTTCGCAGTCTTGGGAATACTGTATATATTTTGTCTATAATGTGACTCTCTCTCTCTCTCTCCAAATATATGACAGTAGAAGATTGAATTTAGTATATAATGTGGTTGCAACAATTGCCGTAACTTTTATGCTTTAATAAACCCACTAATTCTTCTATCTTTGGTTTTTAAGCCCTCATTTGTACATATCCAGTTAGAATAAACTACCAAAAAATGAACGCAAGTTTGAAAGTAGTGTTTTATTCTCATTAGGTATACATCTGTAAATTTCTGTCTTGCTTGTTACATGCAATTCAAATTCACAGGCTCTTTTTCACATTGTAATAGTTGATGGTCCAGGTGGAGCTGATAATTTGCAGGACTATGAACCGAACTCAAATTTATATGAAGAAATGTCCGTACAGTCCACTTCACCAGCCAAACATTCTGTGAAAGCCAGACTAAAAGCACTTCTTAGTGATGAGATAGCCAGAAAGAAGGGTCAGCATAAAAGAAGTTCAACCTACCCTGCAAAGCCAAGACCACCAATCAAAGCAGTTTCTATTCCCAGTTTAGATCACTCAGATGTTAATCTCGTCTCTGAATCGGTTCCAACAGAAAATAATCCTAAAATGGCTCCACATACTACTGAGACGTTGGAGAATTTGCCATTAGCATGCTCAACAGCCAATAAGGAGATCTGTGTAGAGTGTGGGACCATGTTTTCTAGTGGTTCAATGGAGCATAATAGTATGGTTCATAAACATCAGAAACCGCCATCAGAATATCACAAAGCATTGATGAAGGAAACACTGAGTTGTGAAGAGAAGTCCATGCATGCCAAGTTACTCACAACTGACGTGTCACCTTATCTATTTAAGGATTTCTTGGATGCTCTTGATATGATAAATTCAAATAAGAATTTGCTGTTAAAATTTCTGCAGCATCAACATTCTCCTTTGGCATGCCATTTTCCCAACCAACAGGAATCAGCAAGAAAGATAAGACTAAATAAGTCTATTTCATTTCCTGTACCTGGCTCGTCGTCATCATCATCCCAATTTAAAAGACAAAACACAAACAAAATGGCAGATGAAATGCTCAAATCAAGAGAGGTACAAAATGATGGTCAAACACAAAAGGTAATATCTCCGTCTGAATCTTCAGAAAAAAGTGACCAGCAGCAGCCTGTTTCGTTGGACTCTACTTATTATGCATCATTACCACCCCGGGTTCGAAATCCTAGGGCTATTAAGCGTTTCAAGGATCTTAGACAGAAGGTGAAACATGTTCTTGAAGAGAGCAAAAATGAGAAACGCCGCATAGCCATGGATGCTGTGTATGACAAAATTCCTCATGGAAATAAAGTTCCCATAGAATTGAAGAGGAAGATTCCCAAAGTTCCCATAGATACTATTTCACCAAGTGAATTTGGCAATTTTAAAAAACGTCAGATATCTCCAATGAGGACTGCATCTTTGAATGAATCAGTTTGGAAATATTCTCAGCTTTACGAGACTTGTTTTAACAAAGGAACTAGGTACCCTAAGTCTGAGAGGTTAAAGGCGAAAATGGAGGAGAAAAATCCAATATTAAGGACCCCAAAATCCTTTCAAAGGTTTCTTTCACTGCCTAATCTTAAAGATTACTTTTCTCAAAATGAGGAGCCTTCTTCTGTTTTACCTCCCCAGATTCCAATTAGGAAATTTGGAGAGAGAACCGCTAGCCCAAGCACTAGTGTAGATAACATTACAACTCCAGAAAGTGTTTTAAAAGGTGTCCAAAGAGGAATAGCCATCAGAAGTGATACAGGGTTGGCATCAGATGAGGACAAGGAGTCAAATCAAAATGAAAGTGTAGGAATTGATGATTATTTCGGAAAAGTAACAGACAGTGAGATGAATGAATCAACTTCTATTGTCGCTGAAACAAAATCAATCTCCTTCTCTGGCTCCAGCTTCCTAGATGATTCAGTTAGCTCTGATGAGAGGCTATCTTTACCAGAAGGTATATGTTGTCTTTTGATAATCATGGATTGCATTTTCGTCTTTCCTGACTTATAAAATCTTTGGTGTCTATTTGCTTGTTTAACAGTATAAATAGGTTGAATTCTATTCAAGAAAATGACCAGAGTGCTAAAGAAAATTAAGAAAAAATTGATTAAACTATATTACTGTACCAGGACATAGGAACAAAGGGAAATAATCTTGATTTGGGAAACAGTAATTCTTTAATTACGACCTAAAAACTTTCAAACATGGAGCTCTTTGTGTCAGATCGTGTCAAATGTTGCTTTAACACAATGCTTGGAATTGAAAAATGATATCATGATTTACCGTGAAGTTGATTGTTCAAATTTCGAGGGTAAAGTATGCACAAAATTTTCACTTCGAAACTTTCAATCTGAACGCACCCATGTTGTAGTCCTATTCATATTTCCCGTATTGGTTTATAAATAATTTATGGTTGATGATATTAATCATGAACCAAACAGTAAGCACTAAAAAGAACGGATTATTTTTCGAGTTTGATTGCTTGAAATATTAATTTATTTGTTAGTTAGTTAGCAACTTTTAATAAGATAAATTCGGATTTCGTGATTAATAATGGTAAGCAGTATATGTTAAACACAGTTTTGCTCGAGTTTTGGTATTAATGTTAGTTTCCTACTTCACCATCTGGTTACGGTTGAATGGAACAGAATCACAAATAAAGCCATGGCCAACTGATGGATTGGATCATCTGGCAGAGCAACTTCAAGAGCTTGACATTGCAGACTATCATGAATTAGTGAGTAGTGAAAATGATTTTCAGAAATTTAGCACTTTGAACAAGCATTTGGACTTGGGGATTCCTAGCCTTGGAGTGGACACAGATAGTGTGGCTGAATTTAACTATGTGAAAGATGTATTAGAGCTATCTGGGTTATCCACAAGTCATGAATACCTTAGCACATGGTTTTCCAACGAGCAACCAGTTGATCCTACAGTGTATGATGAATTAGAAGGTTGCTTACTATTTGATCCTCAAAGTGCTCGTAACGAAGAAACCAGGGCTCACTGCAACCATTTGATTTTGTTTGATTTAATCAATGAGGTATTGATTGAGATTTTTGGGAGATCATACAGTTATTACCCAAAGTCGTTATCTTCTCTCTGTCATGTTTATCCAATACGAGTAGGAGACCAAGTTCTAGGACAAGTGTGGACACTTATCAAGTGGTATCTGAACTTGAATTCAGAGTTTTATCCATCTTTGGATTACTATGTTAGCAGAGACTTGGCAAGAAGTGATGGGTGGATGAATCTCCAGTTTGATTCTGAATGCGTGGGGCTTGAGTTAGATGACCTTATTTTCGATGATCTTTTGGAGGAGATCATCTGCAATTGAGGTTATATTTGTATGCATGACCTTTCATACTACAAGGAGATAGTATATGTATATCTTATTTTGATTTTTGATGTAATGATTTGGTGTATATAGCCTATAGCAATATTACAGTGCTGATTGGGTCAAATGAAATTTTTAAACAAAGTATCAAGTTTGGTGCCACTCTTGAGAGAACTACCCTATGACAATAACTAAATTTGGATAAGTAGGAAAAATATTTTTGCGTTTCATTTTCAAAATAAGATCTCAATCCACTTTGTCTCCTAAATTTGTAACTTTTTTAAACTCTTCGTATTGGTTGCACACATTAAAAGGGTCTTGCATAAGAGTAGTTTTCAATGCAAATAATTAGAAAGAGTGCTTTAGGGAAACCAACACATATCTTTTATAAACAACTAACTTAAACTCTAATTTTTTTAATCTCTACAAATTGGGTCTGAAAAGGCCTTTGGGAAATCCCTCACATTATAATTAGCAAATTGAACTGACAGGTTGGTGATGGTCATCAAATTGCCCTCAACCGCCCTCTGTGGCAGCCCATGCAACAAAATTTAGCCCCTCATATGAATATCAATCCAGCAGTTAAGCTCTTACTGCATACTTCTTTCAACTGTAATCCAGTTCAATGGAATAAACCTTACCAACTTTATGTTTATAGTTTTGCTTTCGAATCCTAGTATCCTTACTTAACTCTCAAGATCAGTTTATTTGCAATGGCAATCCTCCAAGATCTTACTACAAAAACTGGTTTCATTTTCCCCCAAACTATGACAAGCATTTGCTCTTCAATTGGAAACTGTTGAACCAGGTAGTTCCATCAAATGATATCCTTAGGTAGTGTATGTGGATTCTGTACTTTTGGATTTGATTAGGAGGAATCATTAGAACACATCTTCATTGCATGTCCTTTTTACTAGGTCCATTTGGATTGGTCTCTTTACTGTTAAGATGCCCGGCTCCAGCTTCAATGATTTTGTGAGCCAGTTTAAAAGTACTCTGCTTTAGCTTCATAATGATGGGGAAAAGAACTTGGTGCATGGAATAATCACATTCATTACTGTTTTATGGAATGAGAGAAATATTGCCTTGTGTCATATCTTATTAATTTTAATCCTAAAAATAAGGTATATAAAACAGACCGTACCATGGGTCAAGTAGGGTAGCCAACAATAGACGGTATAACTTTTGAACTAAAACTAGATCAAGGATTGAACTGTCATTTTTAAAATATCCTATCAATATTGAATAGAGAGGGAAAGTATACCTGAAATTTTAGAAAATTTTCAGAAAATCATGAAAAATAAAATAAAGGGTAAAGAATAATATTTGAGGCCTAAAAGATGAAAACAGTATGAAAATGATTTATTTTGAAATTTTTTGTATTTTCTTGGAATTTTGGCTAATTAAGGAAAAATTGGCCACATTGAATTATTTAAAAAATATAGGAGTCTCAATAATTCTTGAAAAAAAATTAGAAATATTATTTGAGAGGTTATTATGAATTTAAAAATTTTTCCCAACCTCCAGAGATGCAGAGGTTTAAAATTATTCAAAGCTGAAATTATATTAGTAAAGGGCTGATTTCGGGAAAAAAAATTAATTGAAAGAGTTATAGAACAAAATAAAAATCTGAGAAAATTAAGAGAACCTATCCTTATCAAAAGGAAGCTATAGGCACAAGAAAATGAATTTGTAGAGATGGTGGATTTAACAAGATCCAAGAAAAATTTAACCGATATTGTAAAATTATACAGTGCAATAACCATAAGCTTGGTGGGGCCAAATTTTTCCCTATTCTTTTGACCTAAATGGCATCATTTGAGGAGGGAGAGAGCCTAAGTGAAATAATATAATTTGACAAAGGATAGAATTGGAAGATTGGAATTATGAATAAAATATGAAAATTTTTATACATGGGAGCTTATGTGTCCTATGAGGTGGTACCTTCATTCAATTTGGAGGACACCTAAGGGGAAAAAATGGTGTGTTATGAAGGAAGAAGAGAGATGAAGCCATGTGTCCTAGGGTAAAAAACCAATGGTAAAACAAGTCACCACATAACCAAGGCAAGGCAAGTTCTATATATACTATCTCATCTCCTCTTGAGTCACTCTTTTCGGTCATTTTTGGGAGTTTGGAGAGCAGAGTGTTTCAGCCAAGAGGGAGAGAAGAAAGAGGAGAGAAAGAACAAGTTTAAACAAAGTGATTTCAAGTGTTTAATCACAGTAAAGGCATGATTATCCTCTCTAGTGCTTGATTTTCTATAGATTGATGGTTTTAAACTTGGTTTGGATGGAGTTTGATGGTTAGAAACCCTAAGTATTGGTGCTGCATGAAATGCCTCTTGATGGAATATGATTCATACTAAGTTGATTCATGGATTAAGGGATAGAAAATGATTGATTCATACTAAGATGATACATGGATTAAGGGATAGAAAATGATTGTTTGATGCTGGTTAAACTTTGTTATTTGAAAGATTTCAACTTGTGTGATTTAGAGACACTATTCGGCCAAGATGGTCTGTTATTGTAGGGTTTGATTTTTGTTGTTTTCGTACTTCTAATGAGTTTAGAAGGTGAATTTATGCAAGGGTATGTGAAAAACATGTGTTTGGAAGTATTAGAATTAAAAATGGAAGTTTAGGACCTTGGGGGCCTCTTGACTAAATTGAAAAAGAAGGAAAGGAGTTGGATTTTAATGAATCTAAGTTCATATATGGATTCTACATGAAAAATTGTGTCGAAAAAACTTATAGGAATTATGTTAAGAAGGATGATGCTAAAACCCTAAATTAAAGGTTCAAGGGTTAGGTTTTTAGAGTGAATTGTTTAATGGAATGATGTTATTGATTTGGAAATGTCATTATTCTTGTTGTTTGATAGGCATTATTGTTAAGCAAGTGGGAACTCAAGAACAAAGGCAAGAAGCCATGTGATTAAAGGAGACAAGAGGTAGCTTAGAACTTACAATTTAATGTCAACTTGCTTGGTTGTTACTATGTGTAATTCCCTATTTATATGCCATGTTATGGATGAACTTGTTAGATGATCATGTGCTTGACTTATTGCATTGTATGCCTTGGTTATATGCATCATTGAATTGACTTTTAGAATGGTATATTGCTCTCTTTCATGGTATGAAAGTTAGTTGATATCTTGTGAAATTGCATATAACATATCTTGCTTGATTGACATTATAATTATGGCTCTTTACTACTAAGATTTTCATGAAATCTCACTTTTCTCTATGTCCAAAATAACACTTCAAGGGGTTACAAGTGGTCATGAGAAAGGCAAGGAAGTGATCACATCTTTAGGGTTATTTATGTGGAATTTTATGAACATTATGTTACAAAGTTGTAATATTTGTGATTTTAATGACTTGTTGACCGTTTGGAGACTTGTAACCTATGTGAAAATGTTTGACAAATGTTGTGAACTATGGTAAAAGCACGTATGAATTGGTATGATGAAATTATCGCAAGTTAATCTTACATGGGATAAAAGTTGACCTAAAATGGCTCAAAGTTTGACTGCACGTAATTCTGAGCAAATGAAGGAAATTGATCATGAAATTTGACAAATCAATAGATCTCATTTTATCTTTAAAATTAGTGGTAACTCATAAAAATTAGAGTTTTCTACAAAAAGTCATATCTATCCAAAGTTAGCCATAAATTCTAAAAAATTAGAAAATTGACTATATGAAAAGTGCACATTGATAGGAAAACTGGGCACACATGAGCTAAGCTTGCAACTAGAATATTTTTTCCTTAACAATCTCATTGTAAGCTTCAACTAAAATTTTGATTCATCTCATTTTGATTTTTCTAGATTAGTTATGATTTTTCAAAATTAAGCTAATTTTAGGGTTATAATGAATGCTAATCCGAGAAAAGAAATTTAAAAATTCAAATTTGTCTAACTTAAGGACTTATTAAATAGTTCCAATTGTTTTGATTTGATATAAAATTAGGTAATAAATGAAGGTGTTACACTCCGTGAGAAATCAAATCTTTTCAACCTCTTACTATCATCAAAGAAATTTTTGGTATATGTTGTTTTATGGATATGGGTTTCTCAACCAATAATTCTCATCAGCATTGCCAGCTCAGCCCTTGAAGCAATCTTCATGACAGGGCTACTATTTGTAATGGCTGAACCGTTGGTTTTTAGCTTAACTTAAAAACAAAAATCAGAATTTTTTTTCTTGGTTCTATTTTTTAAAATGGTCACCCTTTGCAAATGTTTTATTGGACTTCAATCTTCCACTTACACTGTTTAAGGGCAGGCTTATCATGAATTTACTAGGAATTTGTTTCCCTTTCATCTATGTCCTTGTATATACACTCTCTACTCTAAACTCATTTTTCCTTATATATATAAATTATCTTTTTCTCCAAAAAAAAGAAAGAAAAAAAAAAAAGAAAAGATAGGGCAGATTATGCCCCCTTTTAAGTGTCATTGTAGTCAAGAGTCAATATGCATTTTCTTTCTTTTTCTTGGATGTGGTATAAGCCTAAAGTCTCTGTTTAACCAATGCACATGCAATTGCAAGGGCAGTTAACTCTTTTTAATGAAATATTATTGTGTAAATGAAAAATAATACTCTTCCGATCTCAAATGTTGGACATAATGAGCAAATTTATTTTGATCATAGATATTAGAATCCAATATGCTTTATTTTCATTTTGCCTTCAAAATTTATAATTTGTGCTCTAAATTATTTTTATTAATTGCACTGGATTTCTATAATGAGGTTGAAAAATAGGATAAGAGTAAAATACTTTGACCATCAGTCTACTTTATCTTAATTACATGGACCTCCCATCTATTTTGATAACATACTTTTTAGTCCAAACTATTAACACCGCTAAGGAATATTATGAAAAGGTTCTTTAAGTATATCTTTTAATTAAAAAAAATATTACAATTAAACATATAGTTTATCTTTTAATATTAATATTTATTAATATCTATTTAATATTTTTACTAAATTTAGTAAATCAAGACATAACTTTATAATTTTATTGAAATCACACATTTACAATTACAAAACACTTTCTACTAATATATATATTTAAAAAATTAGTTTTAAATAAACAATATTAAACATTTAAGTTTATTGTAAAATAAAAATTTGTATTCATAAAATTAATTAAATTCATAATATGGTAATCGATTTAATAGTATAACAAAAATATTTAAAATACTTATTAAAACTATTCTTTAATTTCAAATAAAGATGTATCATATGTGATTAAATGGTAATTATTAAGTAATATTTGTTTTAAGGAGGGGTATTTTTGTCAAAATAATGGGTCAATCTGGGTGGATAGAAGTTGAATCTCAAAGCTAAAAAAGAGGTTTGTGCAATACATATTTTGATTTTAAAGGGGGAAAATGCCAGAAAAATGCACCTCCAACTCCAAAAGCCCAAAAACGTCCGCCGAATTTCAGTAATTCCGTTTTGGTACCAGCAGACCATTCTGGGATTATTTTCTTAGACAAAAAGACCAAACCGCCCTCAGTGTTATTTTAAACAAAAGGTGGGAACAGAGGCGGTTTTTTCGACTCTCTCATTCTCGACCCCTGTTGCAGCCGACGGAGCGAAGAAGAGAGGAGAAGAGAGCGGAGGAGGAAGCTACTACCGGTGTCGAAGAAGAGAGAAGAGACGAAGGAAGAGCGTTTGGTGGTCACCGTCGAAGAAGAGAAAGGAAAAGAACGACGGAACGGCTACATTGCGGCAATCGATCGAAGGTGAGGAAGAGAGAAAAGGAGGAATTTGCGGTGAGACAGAGGTAAGTTTGTTAACATTTCTTCCTTCTCTGTGTTTGTTCAAGTTATATATTTGATATTGCTACTACTTTTAAGATGTCGATCGAATGTGTGTGAGAGGGAGTGGGCAGTTTCTGGAGATGAAAATGACAAAGTGAATGTGCAGAAAGTGGAGGACCCACTAGATTGCTTGCATTTCACCATATGATGACTGATATACTTTCAGGAGTGTGGACCACATACACAGCCCACAGCCCCGTACCTTTTCTTTTCTTGTTAATGATTTCACTGTTTCATCACTACTTTATCTCTACCTTTTGTTCTTTTCATTCACATTTCCCACTCCTCCAGCCCAGCCACCAAGCTATTCCTGTCAGCTTAATTAACATCGATGACACTGTTATCTCTATGGACAATAATTGTCTTTCATCTATTAGCCTAAGTTAATGCATATTAGTATAATTGTATAGTTTGATTTAAGGTATGAATCACAGTGATGGTGTGGGGGAGTGTGTATAAGGGTGTAGAGGGCGCCAAACTTAAAATAATTATTTGAAAAAAAGGTGAATGTACCCACTGTCATGTAAATATATATATGTTGTTAATCCCTACACTGGAGTTGTAAAATTGTAACCGAAGTTGGAGAAAAGGGTTTGTGTTTTCTTGAAAATGCTGTTGTGAATAGCCATACTGAAGTTGTAAAAGTATATGTAGATGTTGTTAAGCCGTACACAAGGGTTGTAAAGTTGTAACCGAAGTTGGAAAAAGGGGTCTGTGTTTTGTTGAAAATACTGTTGTGAATAGTCATACTGAAGCTGTAAACATGTATATAGATGTTGTTAATACCTACACCGAAGTTGTAAAATAGTAACCCCGAAGTTGGAAAAAGGGGTCTGTGTTTTCTTCAAAATGCTGCTGTGAATAGCCATACTGAAGTTGTAAATACTTATATAGATGTTGTTAATCCCTACACTGGAGTTGTAAAATGGTAACCGAAGTTGGAGAAAAGGGTTTGTTTTCTTGGAAATGCTGTTGTGAATAGCCATACTGAAGTTGTAAAAGTATATGTAGATGTTGTTAAGCCGTACACAAGGGTTGTAAAGTTGTAACCGAAGTTGGAAAAAGGGGTCTGTGTTTTGTTGAAAATACTGTTGTGAATAGTCATACTGAAGCTGTAAACATGTATATAGATGTTGTTAATACCTACACCGAAGTTGTAAAATAGTAACCCCGAAGTTGGAAAAAGGGGTCTGTGTTTTCTTCAAAATGCTGCTGTGAATAGCCATACTGAAGTTGTAAATACTTATATAGATGTTGTTAATCCCTACACTGGAGTTGTAAAATGGTAACCGAAGTTGGAGAAAAGGGTTTGTTTTCTTGGAAATGCTGTTGTGAATAGCCATACTGAAGTTGTAAAAGTATATATAGATGTTGTTAATCCGTACACAAGGGTTGTAAAGTTGTAACCGAAGTTGGGAAAAGGGGTCTGTGTTTTGTTGAAAATACTGTTGTGAATAGTCATACTAAAGCTGTAAACATGTATATAGATGTTGTTAATACCTACACCGAAGTTGTAAACTAGTAACCCCGAAGTTGGAAAAAGGGGTCTGTGTTTTCTTCAAAATGCTGCTGTGAATAGCCATACTGAAGTTGTAAATACTTATATAGATGTTGTTAATCCCTACACTGGAGGTGTTAAGTTCTAACCGAAGTCGGAAAAAGGGGGTTTGTTTTCTTCAAAATGTTGTTGTGAATAGTCATACTTAAGTTGTAAATATGTATATAGATGTCGTTAATCCCTACACTGGAGTTGTAAAGTTGTAACCGAAGTTGGAAAAAGGGGTCTCTGTTTGCTTGAAAATACTGTTGTGAATAGCCATACTGAAGTTGTAAACATCTATATATATGTTGTTAATACCTACACCGGAGTTGTAAAATAGTAACTCCGAAGTTGGAAAAAGGGGTTGTGTTTTCTTGAAAATGCTGTTGTGAATAGCCATAATGAAGTTGTAAATACTTATATAGATGTCGTTAATCCCTACACTGGAGCTGTTAAGTTCTAACCAAAGTCGGAAAAAGGGGTCTGTGTTTGCAACAAAATGTTGTTGTGAATAGTCATACTGAAGTTGTAAATACTTATATAGATGTTGTTAATCCCTACACTGGAGGTGTTAAGTTCTAACCGAAGTCAGGAAAAGGGGTTTGTTTTCTTCAAAATGCTGTTGTGAATAGCCATACCGAAGTTATAAATAACTATATAGATGTTGTTAATCAGAAGTTCCTAATTGTTTTCTGACATGCTTGTATTAATGTGTAATGTGCAGAAAAAATGGTGTTGGAGGGAGAGACATCAACTTCAAAAGGGCCAAGGAATGGGTATGTCTTATTTAGAGAGGAATTTGCTCAAGGGAAAAAATTCAAGGGTGTAGTAGATAGAACTAACAAGGCGAAAGAGGCATGGGCAAGGCTCTCTATTAAGGAGAAGAAAATATATAGTGAAAGGGCCAAACAAATGAGGCCGGAGAAGAAGAAGAGTAAGAGAGTATGGAAAATGTTCACCCGTTGCTCTGTTCGTCAATTCATGTCACTGGCGGAATTTGTTAAGAGTGATGAAAGTTTAAGACAAAGGATAGAGAACATAGGATTCTCTAAGTTGTTGGATGTGGAAATTGACAAACTCCCACGTGAGTTAATTGTAGCTTTCATTCAATCGTACGATCCAGCAACACATCAGTTCCGATTAAGGGGGAGGACAGAAGAAGTTGAGGCAAACGATGTGGGAACATTGCTTGGTGTGCCCCATACTGGGGAAGAGGTAAAAGGAGATGTTGATGAAAATCATGACACATATAAGAAGCTGAGGAGAAAGTATTTAAATGTTGTTTATAGCAAGATATTAGCTGACATAAAAAGTGGGACGGATGATGAGCATTTTGAACTATTATTTATGTTGGTCACACTTGGCACATTTCTAGCTCCAACTTCAAGTGCAAGAGTTGGTGAGAAGTTATTAAGGGTGGTATGTGCAACTATGAATGGATATGAACAGTATGATTGGGCAACGTACATCATGAATGACCTCTACAAGGAAATGGAAGATTATGTGAATTTGTTCAGGAAGGAGAGGGATCCGTGCTGCACTGTGGGTGGCTGCCTGTACTTCTTGGTGGTATGTTTAGAGCAAAACATGTTGTTCAATGTTAATGTAACTGTTTAATTCAATTGGCTAATGCGGTGTGTTCTATGATTGTGGTTGCAGCTATATTTGGGTGAGAAATTCCCATTGTCAAAAGCTACTAACCATGACCCAACAAATGCTATTGCATATTGGACGGATAAGAGAATAAAGGAATTGGTCAACAAAGAGTCAAAGAGTAACATAGGCCTATTGTACAAAGGGAAGTCTACAAAAGTGGTCGAAGATACAATAAGTGTTGCTCATCTACGACCGGTATGTTTATAGTTTTGTATGTATAAAATTCATTATATGTAAAGAGTTTAACTGTTTAGCAAATGTGTTAGCAGGAATTGAAGCAAGTGCATCGAAGGATGATGGATGCACTTGAGGAAAGCCATAAAAGGCTTAGTAACCAATTTGCAGAGGAGCTTATGAAGGTGCAGCTCCATCTACAGGGGATGCCAAGTTCAAATCTGAGGGACCTTGTTGACAACACACGCGATGAGGCAGTGATTCTTCCATCTGATGGTAAAGGTGAAGAGGGAGGTAGTGACAAAGGTTATAGTGATGGAGATACTGCTGAAGGTGAAGCCCATGATCAGGAAAGAGGTAGTGATGAAGGTGATGAGGATGGAGAGGAAGGAGACAGTGAGAAAGGTGATGATGAAGGAGATAAAGGGGTGGAGTCATCAGATGAAGAGACTGACAAGGGAGAAGACCAAAGGCCATCAAAGAGAACAATCATTCCAAGTCGTCAAGTAACTTCTCCATGGATTTCCATGTTGAAGCCTGTTAAGAGGAGAAAGAGAGTGATAACTGAGAAAGACAAGTTTTTCAACATTGTCTCTCGTATGTGTTCACGGGAGGAGGGTCAGAAGTAAGATATGCCGTGCATGGAACATTGAAAGCAGGAAATTTTTTTCATCTTGTTTTGTTATTGTTGTTTTACTTACATATGATGTATACATTGCAGGATTATGGTTACAATGTGTGATGAACAAATTGATCGGGATCAATTGCGCACGATAGGTGGAATCGAAAGAGTGAGTAGCCCTCTAATAACAATGGTCGGTAGGGCATTAATGGCAGAGGCAGGTGAGGGAGGACAAGTGAGGCGACACATTTTTGATGCTGAGTTCATGGTGAGCCCTGTGGTGTGTACGGTTTGTTTGACAATTACAGGTTGTGATGATTAAACTAATATGTTGTTTTGTAGATGAAAATGCTTGGTAACCCTTCTCAGTGGCGAGCATCAGAGAACAAACGTGCTATTTTGCCACAGCATATCGGGTACAACCTAGGTGACTGTGATTTAATATTTGGACCCGCAATTGTTGAGTCTCACTGGTTTTGCTTTGTGTTGGAGCCAAAAACAATGCATTTTTATGTCCTGGACTCCATGAGGCTGCCTAATGATATGCCAAAGAAGACCAAGAAGAAGGATTCATTGGAAGAAAAAAGGATGTTTCATCTTCATGCATGTGTAAGGACTAAACTAATGTATCTGTGTATCACAAGTGCCCAATGTTTCCACCTTTTTATCTCATATTTTGGATTTCTGTTGTTGGTTTGCAGAGAGACAACTTTTATGATATAATTGCATTAGTCAGACCTCAACTTGTTGGGAAGAAGCCTAAGACTGATATTATTTTTGCACCTGTTCCACAACAGAACAACTTGTATGTTGTGTTGACTGTTGACATTGTTTTCTAGTTTAAGATGTGAATTGCAGAAGCAGACATACTAACTTAAATGTTTTATTTCCCATTGGATGTATAGGAGAGATTGTGGTGTTCATGTGTTGATCTGGCTAAGCAAATGGGTCCCGGATGTGACATTTGACTTCAATGAGGTATGAAAGTTGTCTATAATTAATGATTAATTATTTGCCAGGTACGGTGAACATTAACATATGGACCTGTCTTATATGCAGAATCATGTAGCTGAGTTTAGGCGTGAGCTAATGTGGTGGCTAGTTAATCATCCGCAAAATTCAAGTCGTGAAGAAGCCTTAACTCTCCTCTCAGAACAGCAGAACAAGACAACCACCAAAAGACGACGTTTGTCATAGTACTTAGTAGGAGGTTCCTTTTACATGTCTATGTGACACTCTGATGTAGTTCCATGTTATTTAACTTGGGAGAACATTTATGTACATGGCAGAAGGACTGATTTCAAGATTAGTAATTGTGTCTTGTTAGCAACGGGTTCATACCATTTGCGACATTAGTAGTCAGACTTTATGGTAAATTTTAACAGCAGCATTATATATGTTTCCAACTTGTGTATCGATTTTCACAACAGCATTCACGAGATGAAAACAAGTACCCCTTTTTACAACTTCAGTGAAGCTTTTAACAACTTCAGTATAGGTTTTTCACAACTCATGTATACCCGTTAAGTAATGGGTCCCTTGCACGCCCACACCCAAGTGGGAAACGTGTTGAAGATCGGGGAGAAATTTTACAACTCCAGTGTATGCATTAACAACATTATTATACTATTTTACAACTTCAGTATAGGTTTTCACAACAGCTTTCTGAAGATGGAAACAAATACCCCCTTTTACAACTTCGGTGAAGCGTTTAACAACTTAAGTATAGGTTTTTCACAACTCAAGTATACCCGTAAGCTAACGGGTCCCTTGCACACCCACACCCTCGTTGGAAACGTGTTGAAGATCGGGGAGAAATTTACAACTCCAGTGTATGCATTAACAACATTATTATACGATTTTACAACTTCAGTATAGGTTTTCACAACAGCTTTCTGAAGATGGAAACAAATACCCCCTTTTACAACTTCGGTGAAGCGTTTAACAACTTAAGTATAGGTTTTTCACAACTCAAGTATACCCGTAAGCTAACGGGTCCCTTGCACACCCACACCCTCGTTGGAAACGTGTTGAAGATCGGGGAGAAATTTTACAACTCCAGTGTATGCATTAACAACATTATTATACTATTTTACAACTTCAGTATAGGTTTTCACAACAGCTTTCTGAAGATGGAAACAAATACCCCCTTTTACAACTTCGGTGAAGCGTTTAACAACTTAAGTATAGGTTTTTCACAACTCAAGTATACCCGTAAGCTAACGGGTCCCTTGCACACCCACACCCTCGTTGGAAACGTGTTGAAGATCGGGGAGAAATTTTACAACTCCAGTGTATGCATTAACAACATTATTATACGATTTTACAACTTCAGTATAGGTTTTCACAACAGCTTTCTGAAGATGGAAACAAATACCCCCTTTTACAACTTCGGTGAAGCGTTTAACAACTTAAGTATAGGTTTTTCACAACTCAAGTATACCCGTAAGCTAACGGGTCCCTTGCACACCCACACCCTCGTTGGAAACGTGTTGAAGATCGGGGAGAAATTTTACAACTCCAGTGTATGCATTAACAACATTATTATACGATTTTACAACTTCAGTATAGGTTTTCACAACAGCTTTCTGAAGATGGAAACAAATACCCCCTTTTACAACTTCGGTGAAGCGTTTAACAACTTAAGTATAGGTTTTTCACAACTCAAGTATACCCGTAAGCTAACGGGTCCCTTGCACACCCACACCCTTGTTGGAAACGTGTTGAAGATCGGGGAGAAATTTTACAACTCCAGTGTATGCATTAGCAACATTATTATACTATTTTACAACTTTAGTATAGGTTTTCACAACAGCTTTCTGAAGATGGAAACAAATACCCCCTTTTACAACTTCGGTGAAGCGTTTAACAACTTAAGTATAGGTTTTACACAACTCAAGTATACCCGTAAGCTAACGGGTCTCTTGCACGCCCACACCCTCGTTGGAAATGTGTTGAAGATCGGGGAGAAATTTCACAACTCCAGTGTATGCCTTAACAACATTATTTTAAAATTTTACAACTTTAGTATCGGTATTCACAACAGCTTCCTCAAGATGGGGGAAAAAACCCTTTTCACAACTTCGGTTAACCTTTTAACAACGTCAGTATAAGGTTATCACAACGCAGGTATACCTGTTACCACCTGGTATACAGGCGTGCTTACGCCCTCTTTAGAAACGTGTTTACAGACTAAACCCACTTCAATATGCGTTCCCAACAGCATTTCCAATAATGACTAAACCCACCATATTACAACTTCAGTAAACCATATAACAACCACTAAATAATGTTTCAACAACTCGAGTAAAAGTTTAACAACTGTCATAAAACAAAATGATTAGTAATACCCATATTTTTAACTCAGTTCAAATGAAGTTCATATACGATGATCATACTTAAAAACATAAAATATAAGGCAACAATATCAAACATGAATAATAAGGGGACTCGTCTTGCAACTTCTGTCATTGTTAACAACACAGTTAAAGGAAATAACAACTTCAATATAGGTATTTTCCTATAACCAGATCCTTCCTGACAGTACTTACAATCAGTGACAGGCTAACATTAATATTTCATCCCCACTTAATGTTTTCTTGTCACTGACATCAAAATACACATTTCACTGACTATGTGTGACTTACGATGTCGACTTCCCACATGACACAACCCTTCATCCAAAAAAATATGAAGAGTTGCAAAATATTTACAAGCCACAACAAAAAATAACCTTTACAAAATAAACCCACACGTGGACTACCAATTTTAACTTGGGTTTGGATTTCTGCATGTTCTTTTACTATGCCCAGGTTCATGACACTGTCCACAGTGGTAAATCTTCCTGTTTTGGAATTGGGATTCCCGCCTCCTAATTCTTGGCCTTCCCGAAGGTCTACTAGTTGTAGGTGGGTATAGCCACACTTGGTTTCCCATATTTTGCAGCATATAATCATTAGGATTAGGCCTGTCAATTGTCACTACTGGAATCATGGTGTTCCCATAAATCTTCTCTTGGGATGTTATTTTATAACAGTCCTCCACAAAATCATACACATTTGCATGAACCACCCTTATTGCAGCACAAGCGTGTGGACACGGAATCCCTGTCATTTGCCATGCAGCACAAGTGCATTCATGTGACTGAACATTGACATATAAGGCTCCACGCGAAGTATGTACACAGACCCTACCACCTCCATAAGGTTCACCATGCATATGAATCGATCTAGCCACATTTTCCATCACTTTTCCATCAATGTTTGGACCCACACCATTTCTCCAGTTCCTCATTGCCACACTTGCTGCGAACATCTTCCTTGCAACCTTCTCACGATGTTCATGAATAAGTTGGGCAACATTATGCTGCCTTTCCTTTACAATCCAAGCATTGAATGACTCAGCAATGTTCGTTGTTATGTTATCCCACCGTTTATATGCAAACTTGCTCATTGCCCACTTATGAATATCACCATGATTGTTAAGCCACTGAAGTAACTGAGGACTGAAATTTCCCATCCTTGTCATTGCCTTATCAAACTCAACGTTAACCCTTGCATATGCAATGTCATCAAGCAACTTTAATCCAACTTCCTTACTAATACCACTAGTTCTCCTCCTACCTCTGTATAATTTATTCATTTCAGAGCTGAAATTTTCCTTCACGTGTCTATAACAGTATGCATGACGGTCACCTCCAAATATTGCTCCAACAGCTCCTATTATTGCATTGTGACGATCTGACACAATAATTAATTGGATTGCACCAACTATCTGTTTTATCATGTTTAAGAACCATGCCCACTCCTCATAAGTCTCTCCTTTCACAATAGCATACGCGAATGGTAACAATTCATTGTCCGCGTCATATGCTGAGGCTGATAGCAGTGTTCCCCTATATGGTCCACTCAAATGTGTTCCATCTATGTACAGTATATGTCTTGCCCCAGACAAAAAACCCTCTATGCAACAACCATATGCTATGAAAACACGCTCAAATATATTGTTAACAGTTGCTACCCATTCAGCTACCGTCTTCTCATCGGTTTCCTTCAATCGTTGACATATCCATGGTATCAACATGTATGACTGTTCAGGCCTCCCTTGTATTTCCTCTAATGCTTTTTCCTTAGCCCTATATGCTTGCTTATATGTCAACTTCACACCATAATCCCTTGCCAAGGTCCTCCTTATTTCATTTGGACGCTTTTCAGTGTGATCCCTTACCTCCTCAATGATAATTGATGATGTCAAGGCTGCTCTTCCACCATGTGTAACTTGCATCATCTCTTGGGCATTATGCACATGTTCATTACTCAGTCGAGTTACAACGAGGAAAGGACTTCTCTTCGCAGCTACTCTTGCTATTATCCGCCAAGGACAACCTTCAACTTTGCATTTCACATGCACACATTCCTCACAATTTTTGACATATTTGTACTCGAAGTTTTCTGCAATACTAAACTTATATACTGCCTTTCTGAATTCTGTGGCATTTGCAAAAGTTTGCTTCTTTCCTAACAACAATTCCTTCCACTTCACAGCATTCATCTCGGGCATTGGTGTTGGTGCAATCTCTACTGTACTTACTAGCCTCACATGACATCCCCCACCGCCTTCTCTTACACAGTCACCCCCATTTTCATCACAAACTGTTCCGTCCATATTATTCTCCCTACTTGACAAAAAACACATTTGTTGTGACAATCCCAAGTAGTTGTCAATGCTGCATGCATAATTACAACTTTTGTTAGCAAATTCACAACAACAATATAACAAATAACAACTAAAATAACCATAAAAAAACAAGTCTCACATTTGTGGATCATCCATTACTTCCGGTGTACTCTCCTTCAATGCTAGATACACATGTGCACTAGTGTCATTATACTGAAAAAGATTATCAACTTCACTATCATCAACCAAATCTACTAATGCCTTATCATCGAGGCTCACTGTATATTTCATGTCACAAATATTAACATCTATATCAAACCATTCCAATATCATTAACCTCAACTCTTCGTATCTTATCCCCTGTTTTATCGTTCTAACTCTCACACTCCCACCATTGTATCTCATTTCACCTTCAACATTATTAACAAAGTTTCCACCAAGATGAAAAATCAACGCAAGTGTCTTTGAATATGTTGACCCAATATTGCAACTCATTCTGCATTATACCCTGCAACAAACAAGGAAAATATTTCATCACAATGTCATCTCTGTAAAAAGGATATTTCATAAACCCAACACAGCTACTTTCAAAGTTAACAACTTCAATATATCGTTTCACAACTCCACTTTAACTATTAACAACACCCTTCACAACCTCATTACTATGGATATTCAGCCTACTTATATACGTGATCATCGCAGCGCTTCTTCCAATTTCCCTCAGCTACCATCTGCTATCCCCAAAAACAGATCATTATAAACACCGTCCCAGACTAAGCTAACTCTATCACTCACTACCCGACTCATACGTTCCATTCCCACAAGTTAAAAACAACAACCAATACCTCCAGATGAATCAACTTACGATTGCTACAGCATCGTCTCCCTCTTAAGCTGACAAAACTAACTTGGCCAGAACCCTAACCTTATCTAACATTAATCAACTCATTTGTTCAGATTGATGACCATTCTCACACCTAAAAAAGGAAAAACCAACACCCCAATATGAAGAACGTATGCCTTACGTAATGCCGCCCCTTACCTACTCTGAACCCTCAACGCCACATACAGAACGCAGGACCACCAAAATGAAGAAAACAGACCGCAACAGTCATGCATGGAGGATGAAACAGTCATATGATTCCAGAAAAACACTTACCCTTTCGAACCACCACGTTTTCGTCACCTTCGACCTGCTGGAACACGCACGTTTCTCTCCTTTCCTTCCCGCCTATCTTCCTTCGGTGTGCGGTTTATTGTGGTGCCCATGTGGTGCCCACGCTTTGTAATGGGTGAGGGCGGTTTGGTCTTTTTGTCTAAGAAAATAATCCCAGAATGGTCTGCTGGTACCAAAACGGAATTACTGAAATTCGGCGGACGTTTTTGGGCTTTTGGAGTTGGAGGTGCATTTTTCTGGCATTTTCCCTTTTAAAGGAGGTCTATATGTTTCTAAAATAAAGGAAGGCCTTGTCTTAGGTTAAATAGAAAGGAGGTTGATGCATTTAACCCATAGGGTAAATGTCGTTATTATTATAAGAAAATTCAATCATGATCATGCCCTCTTACTAAAGCCTCAGCTATCACATTTGTGTCATGAAGCTCGCAAAATAAATAAAAACTAAAATTTCTTGTTTTATTACGTTTAAGTATAATATACTTCTTTGGTCCTTAATATAGGACCTAATTTTTAAGTTAATATTAGTCCTAAATATAAGACATATTTCTCATATTTATTAGTTTTTCCTAAATTATTCCTATGGATACTCCCTCAATCATAATCAATTAAGTGAGGGATGAAGGATATTAAGAAAGATGATTATGGTGTTTTAGAAAAAACATGTCATATTTCTTATAATTAACTAACTTAATTTTCTAACTTACTTAATCTAATCAAATTAGTTAAATAAGTCTTATATTAAGGACCGGAGGAGTACTTGGTAATTCTAATGTCATCAAATAGTCAAATAGCAAATGTTGAAAACAAGAAATGGGAAAGGAAAAGCCATCAACGAAATAAAAATAGTCAAGTAGCTTTAATCAGCTAACGTTTACTCAATTCTAAAATAGAAAAAACATTAATGACTATATACAGCACATCACTCTAACATCGAATATGTCAATATTTTGAATTAAGAAGAAAGCTTTCAGTTTCACCTATTCATGTTTTATTTTGCTCCCTAAGCAGGACTCATAAGTCAAGACAATCAGATAATTAAGAAACAAATATTGCCAGTCTTTTCAGATAAGTCACATAACGGATCTACCTTAAAAATACAACATGATCAATGTTACAATGTCAAGACACAATCTAAACGATGTTACAATTCATCAATATTAGACTGTATATTACATTATCCATCATTCTACTGACTCATTCTATACCTAATTTTGAATCTGATTAAAATGACAACCATGAAATCAGACAAATGATTGACTTCTCATTTCCAATGAAACCACGACACTTCAAATTCAAGACTCACCTAAACTTATCATCTGTAAAAACAAAGAATTTTAGTTGTGATCTAAGCTGATCTTACATAGAGAAAGAAGAATTAAATTAAATTAGAATAAATATAAGAAATAGCCAAGTTCTACTGACACTAATTTCTATGTTCTAAATCCACACCTACCATTGCTATCCCCTTCATCCCTGGCTTTCCATTTGTTTTTATTTTCTCATCTCAATGACCTCGCTATGGGAATTTGGATGCAATTCACTACAAAATGTAAAGCTATTTGTAGGTCGGTATTTAGGCAAAAATCGCTCAGACTTATACCTAACCCCACATGCCTTGCAAAGAGTTTTTGGCCCAAGGGGTCCTGCCTACCACTGCGGAGTGTTTTTTGCTCCACAGTGCTAGCATTTACTCCCTATTACTTTAATTGTTACCATCGTTTTTAGTTTGTTGATCATGTTCCTCGGCTGGTTCCACCAAAACTGCTAACTGGATATGTCAATAGTACTATGGGGTTGCCTAGTACGACGATTGCTTTGTGCTTGGACAGAAACCTTAATGTGATTAGAGCCATCAAAGAGGGTAATATTGTTAGCACTGTTATTATTTTTGGTACTACCTTCACTGTATTCAAGTGTTGAGACTGGGGTTTGGGGCTTTGATAACTTTGGTTGAATACAGAGCATGTCAATAAATGTTTCGATAGTCGGGAAAGCATCTTTGTTTGATAGCCATTCAAGGTCTTTTCCTGGAAAATCCTGAATCATGGGAAAGGAAAGTTAATCTTCACATCACTCAAGACTTTAGGTCTGCACAAACAATTAATTCTTCCAAGTTGAGTACCACCTTGTTTGTACATCATGACAATTGTTACCAATAGATTAGAGTAACCCCATTCCAATTAGAACAATGGTGGTAAGATGGATTGTACAATGCAGAATGCTTATACTTCAAATCCGTCTAAGATTGCCTATAATATGATAGATGGAAAATAAAATAAAAAAAAATTGAAACTTTGGGAAACCGATAATATTCAAACCCTGGCAAGATAAATACCATTACTGAGGCAATGTTTAATACATAGAAAAGTATTCACTACAAAGGAAATGAGAAATGCACCAAGAAAGGAAATTATATAGGTACGTTTCCCATTTTCATTTTTAGAGGACAATTTTCCGCGTGCCAAACACTATATGATACCTAAGAAAAAAAAACTTATCCTACTAGGTGGGTCAACATATTGAATGGCACTATTGTTCTATATTAACAACAAAAGCTTTAGATATATTGTTCACTAGAACATCTCATTCAATAACTTTATCACGTATTCTCTTTGGTCTTCTACTATTCCTTTTCAAATGACTCCGTACTATCTAATCTCCCCTCCTCACTGATAACTCTGACAACATTCTTTATCCATGTTTAAACCAGCTCAAATGATTTCTTACCATCTTCTCTTTAATAGAAGCCAAACCAACTCTTCCTTATATATGTTCATAAGGGATTTTATCTTTTCTTATATAACCACATATCCATCTTAACATCTTTATCCTATTTCCTTTCTAGAAAATAGTTTTTTCACACCCCAAACATTGCATAATAGTAGATGAAATTTCTAAGAATAAGTTTATATAATGACTTCTAACACACCATTGTGCTGTACTTGCCTGCTGCAGTAAGCATCCAACAGGTTAAACTTGTCATGCAAGAAATGTTGTACTCTCTCGACAAACAATTTGAGGCCAATTGTAATCACAACAAAATCAGAAATGAAATCCCTTTCCCTTTCTTTGCCTTCACTTTTCTTGATGCTAGAAGCCGCAACAAGCATAACCCAATTAGTTTGAGATGGCTTCCAGCAGTTTGTAACATATTCAATTCTCTCATTGTTAGAGTATGTTATCATGCACTTTGTTTTTTTTTTTTTTAAGTTAAAGCGTTTTTTTTTTCTTTTTTGCTCAAGTCTTATTTGTTTTTATTTTTTGAATAGCATTTTTGTATTTTACGATTAACTGATGAGTTTGATTTTGATTACAAGGGTTAGACGGCGGTATCAAATCCACAATCTATCACTGAGGGTGATTAGCATGCCACTATGCCACCAAGACATTGGCATTTTGTGAGTTTGATTTTTGGAAAGAATATGATCAAGTTAAATGTTCTGTTCAGGTAGAGTTATCTTGTTTTGTATAACATCCTAAATATTATTTTGGTAAAAAAATTATTATGATTTTAAAAAATAGAAAGTATTTAAAAAATAATAATTAAATAATATAAAACACTATTTTATTATTATAAAATAATAATATTTTATTATTTAAAAAAAACAACACACCTTTTCCACCAAATTTGGTGGAAAAGGTAAGAACATTTAAGAAGAGGAAGAAAAACAGGAAAAGGGTCATTTAATGAGAGAAGGAAAAATGGATAAGGCATTACAAAAAAAAAAAAAAGCTTTTAGCGATAGAATTTAATGACAGCATTTTTTATTTAGCGACAGAATTAGTGATGGAAACGGATTAGTAATGGAAT